CTGACTCACATCCAAAATGAGGTGACTGACCCCATTCATTTGTCCATAAGGTTACAGATCCTGCAATGGTGTCATGCAGTTACCTGAAACACCCATCCTGTCCTCTCCTGCCCCTCATTTTGCTGTGTTCTGCAGGCCAGATCGTGGTCCATGAGCAAAATTCCTTGAGGCACTACAGCCTGGGGGGATCCTCATCAGAAGACATTTGTGTTCCTGGTTCCATCAGAGTCAGGCTCCTGCAGACTATGCAGAGTGATTCATGGTTGCTCTGCCAGTGTGGGGTCTCTCCCTCCCCTCGTGGGTCGTTGGCCACCGATCCATGAGGACAAAGGGAGCAGAAGCGACGAACGGGGTCAGGACGGCCAGTGAGCACTGACGGAAGAAAGCCCTTCCGGGGAGGCAGGTTCAGTGATACAAACAGCTCCAGATTCAGTGAAACAGCTCCATTTATTCAGTGGGGGTCAGGGAAAATATAGTGTGGAGGCAGCAGCCAATGGTTCAGCTGATAGGTGCTCATAGTATGCTTTATTTACACATGGCAATAGGATCCTATCATCCGACTATCAGGCAATGCCTAATTATCATATAGAAAAAACCTGGGGGCAGTTTTATTGCTGGTAACTATGCCAAAGGTCATGTTTCAAATGAGGTCAAGCATCTGTGCTTGGCGGCACTTTCCAGGTAAGTCAGGCAGGAAGCCCCTGCTGAGAAAGGAGCCGACCTTAACAGCAGGGTTCCCCAATATGCCAGAGACACCCTTCTGCAGTCAGCACACTAGATCAGCTGCCCATTTCTATTAGCTCCACCAGGAATTCCCCCCTGAACCCCCAATCTACATTGACTCCTTCCTCTGACTCCAGCTGTGATAGACTGTCTCTTCCTGGGTGGAATAATTGGTATATGTAACTGATTCTACTAGTCCTGAGTTTCTGGGAACAATGGCATGTCTCACTCATGCGTTCCATGTCATCCAGCACAGGCACCTGCATGTGGGAGTCTCTTGGTGAGTGCTAGACATAGGAAGCACTCCAAGGGAATGGATGGGTTGCTTACAGGATGGCTGAGAGGCTGACAGGAAAATATTATTGGAGGAAGAGTGATGGAATGGAGGGCTTAGAGACACAGGCCCTGAGACTGATGCTGGGACCCCTTACTCCCTATGCCCTCCCAGGAAGATAACTAGAAATAGCCTGAATTAGAGCTGTGTCATCACCCTGCCTGTCTGCCTATTCCTCCTATTCTCCTTCCGTCTAGTCAGCTAACATACCCTCCTTCTAATTTTTATTTTATTTATTATTTATGTATTCTGCTATGTATATGAGTATTTTGTGTGCATGTATGTCAATACACCTGTACATGCAATGTCTAACAAGGTCAGAAAAGTATATTGGGTCCCCTGGAACTGGAGTTACCTGATGGTTGTTAGCCATCATGTAGATGCTGGGATCCAAACCCAGGTCCTCTGCAAGAACAGCCAATATTCTTAACTGCTGAGCCATCTCTCCAGCCCCAAAGATTTTTTTTTTTTAAATTTGTGTGTATGTGTGTGTATGAGTATATCCCATATGTATGCAGGTAACTGCAGAGGCTAGAAGAGGGCAGCCAGATCCCTGGAACTGGAGTTATAAGCAGAGTATTGGGAACTGAACTCTAGTCCTCTGTAAGAGCAGCATGTTACTCTTAATCACTGGACCATCTCTCCAGCTCCCAGCCTTCCTTCTGATGACTATCCAGCAACACAGAGAACATACACCTTTCCTTCCTTCCTTCCTTCCTTCCTTCCTTCCTTCCTTCCTTCCTTCCTTCCTTTCTCTCTTTCATTTAGTATTCACTAAACACTTTTCTTCACCAGGCCTACTGCTACAACTCCCAAGACTGAACCTTTAGAGCCAATCAGTCAGAACCCCAGGGCTTTTAGGCAGTAGAGCTCCATATTTTCTAATGTTCTTTGTCTACCCTTGGGATGGGTTTGGAGAGCTGGAAGACAGGATAGTTTGGAGGGGTGGGGTAGAGGGCAGATTGTGCCTGATTGAGCAGCTCTGGGTGCCAAACATTAGCTTTATTTTTTTATTTTTTTTTAGCAAAGATCACAGATGTTGCCAACAAGGAGACAGATATGAGTCTAGTCTGAGAGGGAAGCTCCCCCAGAAGGACAGCCTGGCCTCATTTGTGCTGTCCAGGCCAGAAAGAAGAGGAGAAGGGAGTGACTGAGACCTGCCTGGCCTCCCATTTGTTCTCTGTGCTTCTCTTGTTCAGATATTCCCCACTTTGTGCTTCCTTCTATTCTTGATCCATGGCAGCCTTTGCTCCCCTGCCATGTGGGGCCTGTTGACTGGGTAGGGTGCATGTTGGGTCCCTGATGGTTTCAGAGCAGGAAAGTGCAAGCACAGAGGGCAAAGCCCCCAGCATGGCCATGGAGAGCCTCAAGTCTGCCTTCCTTCACTGCCAGGCTAGGTGCTAGCACAGGCAGAAATGGGGTTCTCTGCACTTCACTACCGCAGCGCGTGCTGGACACAGGGCCAAGGCAAAAGATGCTGTGGTGGGTGACCAAGGGACAGATTGGTGGTGGAGCAGAACCTGCACTCCAACACCCACCCAGGGCTGACCTAGGGGCTCACAAATCCAACTGATCATTGAACTCCACAAGAGATGTGCACATGGTTTCCAGGGCCCTCTAAACACATCTGACCCAGGGGTGTCTAAACTAGAGTATCCCCACTAGGGCCATGGCCTTTGTTGGCAGCCACTTTCTAGGGCTTACTGGGGCGTATTGATTCTGCCTGATGGGTAAGAATAAAGGGGAGCTGTCCCAGAAGGAGCAGCTGAGCCCATGCTGCAGGGTGTGAGAGGAACTGAAGTTGAAGCTTCTGAAGAGTGCTTGCTATTAAGCTAAACATCCCAGTCCCTTCATTCACCCCAGCACCACGGGCAGAGCCTGCAACAGTACAGAGCAGGTATGTGGCCCTCGTGGCTTGTGTCTGATAGAGAAAGCACAGGTACTAGAATAGGGATACATGCCATCACTGCCTTTGATTTATGCTACTTTCTCCCCAGACAGCAAGGTCAAGCCTGTGGTCCCCACTGTGTCCCATATCACCTTCCTGCTCATGGAACATTTAGAGGAGGCAAGAAAGTAGGACCAAGTGACCACCCTCTTCCAGGCCCCTCTGTGCCCAGCCTGCTCTGTGGCCCCTGCCAGACACTCAGCTCCCCTGAACCACTGCTTCCTCAACTAGCAGATGATCCTGGCCTGACTTATATGTCCCACCAGGAATCTGGCCCTTAGCACCAGGAGCTGCCTAACCTATGACTTCTCCAGTGGGCACCTTGCTGACTTCCTTGGTTTTTCCCCTCTGAGCTGAAGCTGTAGGCTAGGCTAGGTTTTCCTGAGTCTGCCGTCACATGGTGGGCATGGTCACCTCAGAGTTCCTAGCTTTGCAGCACCCAGGAGCCTACTGTTTGTATCTGCCCCTGGCTAGTCTCTGTCACTGTTTTGAGGTAGTACTGGTCTCTGTGCAGTTTGCCACCATGTTGGCAGCATGAGCTCAGAGGTGATCTCAGTCCAATGGAACTGCCTGCCAGGCATACAGGTGCATGCAGTCCCAGTTTCCAGTTTAAAGAAGCCTATTCTTGCTGTTTACAGGAACTTCAAAATGTCTACTGTGGGCAGCAGCCCCCAGGTATGAGATCAACTTGTCAAACTGAAACCAAGTTTCTTATCTAGAAACAGTGTCACAATGACCAGCACAGATGGTGTGCCTTTTGCAACATAACATGTCCACCTCAATCAAGAGATAAAGCCTTGGAATACCCCAGAAGCCTTCCTTGTGACCCTTCAGTTTCCTGCTGTAAGCATTCCAGATGCTTGACCTCAGTCCATCAGGGAGGCAGGTGGAACAGAGCCTAATGGTGGTAGAGCCAATCAGGCTGATTCCAAAAGGGCTTCCTGAAGGAGTAGGCCTCTGGGGGACCCACAGTGTTCGATAGAAAGGCAGCAGGTACACCATCAAGAGAAAGATGCCAAAGGGCTTGGGCTGTGTGACAGCTATTGTGAACTTGACAGGATCTAGAAAGACAAGCCTCCTGTGAGGGACTCTCTGAGTTGGATTAATTAAGGTGGGAAAACCCACCCTACATGTGGGCAGCACTATTCCATGAGCTGGCGTCCTGGACTTCATAAAGGAGAAAGCACCAGCATTTATCTCCCTCACCTTCCTGGCTGTGGATGCAAAGCGACCAGCTGCCGCACACTCCTGTCGCTATGATTTCCCCAGCATGATGGACTATATCAGCCAACTCTGAGCCCCAATAAGCCCTTCCTTCCTTTCGCTTCTGTCAGGTATTTTGTCACAGCAAGAAAAGTAACTAATGTAAGCTGCTTCCTGCTCTTCTAGGACCCCACCTTGAAATTTGGGCCCCAGACTACATCCACCAAGTGACTGTGGAATGTGGCTGACTGAGCCTGGTCCTCAGGAGCTAAGATCTGGCAGACTTCCACCTTCAGAAGGAAAGCATGTTGCAGACCTGTGAGCATGTGATGGCCGGAAACATGAGCGAGCCTTCTGGGTTAGGAGCTGTCTGATCATCAGTGTTTAGAACAGATAGCCCCCTCCCTGCCCTTCCCCACACCAGTGTGTCTGAGCACAATGAGTGACTACTTCAGCAGCAGGGGCAACCCATTCTAACATCAGGTTATGACAAAGTTCCTTCCTGGCCTGAGCTCCTAACCTGCCTCCTTCTACCTCCCTGCTTGACCCCCTTGGGCCAGGAAGACGTACTTGAAGATTTGAGATTTGAGGACTACTACAGAGGTTTTGCCTACCAGAATTGCTCCATCTGGGCTGTTTCAGGCCTTCCATGGTCCCCTTCTGACTTGCTCTTCTCTGACTCTTGGTGTCCAGCAGAACTCAGCTGAGCCCAGGTACACTGCATACAGCTAGCAGGCCACCTAGGTTCTCATGAGAAGTCCTCATCTTGTGTTTTGTTTGTTGTATCTCCAGCTCCAAGAAACCCAAGAAACGTCCAGAAGTGACTGTGAGGCCCAAGCCCTCACCACGGCGCACTATCTTTGATGAGGAGGTAGACCCTGATGCTGGACTCTTCTCCCCAGGCAGGAAGCTGTCCCCCGAGGGACCATTGGAGAACATGCCTCAGGACAGTAAGTACAGCCCAGGGTGAGTTCCCTTTGTTCAAGTGTTGACTTGGGGTTTAGTGACAGCTGCTATGTTGAGCAGGCCCAGGGCTCATCTTTGTCCTGTTTAGATGGAAAACAGATTTGGTTTGTGGAGATTTGCTAATGGACAAATTGAGCTGTACGCCTGGTGGCCTACAGGCTAGAACATTCTGGATGTCCTATAAGGAAGACAGTTTTCTTTGTTGCTTAGAGGCCCAGTGCCTTGGTTACATCGGTAGTCACTTGGGCACTGAAACCTTTTAGTGGAAGGAGAATGCTGACTCCCCTGGAGCATGCGTGGCACTCTGTGTCATTTTAATTTTAATGAATTCATGCCACACCCACGGACTCTACTTCTGCTGGGTGCAGAGTGCAGAGTTCAGAGGGATAGCTCAGCAGCTCTGGGAGTTCTCCTACTGTCCCCAGTCCATCTTTTCCTATGTCTGACCTGGGTCCTCCTCCCCAGGGAGGAAGTTGATGTCATCCATTGATTCAGCTAGCACTTGGCAAGTACCCACCAAGGGAGGGCCAGGTTCCCATCCTTAGAAGGAGACAGCAGCACCTAAAAATTGTAGTATAGCACAAATCTCTTCAGGTGCTAAGCAGAAACATGAGTTCCCATAGGCTACCTGGGAAGGCATCCTGGATGAATGTGCAGTGGCAGTGTGGAGTTGTGACTAGGCTGGGTCCCAAAAGGTTAGTGGAATTTGCCAGGTGCCCTGCAGAAAGGTAGTTCAGATAGATAGATGCATGATCAATACTCCTAATGGGCAGCTGGAAGCAGCACAGGAAGGAGAGGGTTGGGGAGACCCAGGCCTGCTGAAGGTGGGCACTATAGTCAGGACATGTCTGCTGCCCCTGCTCCTCACCCCAACCTTGGCAGCAAGATCTGTGGCTGGTGAATGACCGTTAATGCTCTTTAGAAGACCATGCCACTGTGAGCAAGGCTTAGGCTAAGATCCAGTCATTGGAGCTGAAGAGCCTGGCCCAGTGCACTGAGAGGCCACTTCCCTTAGCAGTGGGATGCTCTCAAGGACTGGAAAGGAGCCAGGTGAGGGTGGACAGGAGGCCCAGACCTTCAAGGAGCTGCTATGTTCTCACCCTCCCATCTTTGCTCACTCACTTGGGTGCAGACTAGCTCTTCTTTGACCACTCTGCATCTTCCCACAGCCCTGAAGCTGTTTGACGACCCGGACCTTGGTGGCACTGTCTCCCTGGGTGACCCTTTACTGCTGCCAGCTGCCCGTGAGAGTGGAGGACCCACACCCAGCCATGGACACAGGGATGCCTCCAAGGAGTTGTTCAGGTACTACTGTCCCCAGGGGGCCTTCTCCAGCTCTGCACCAGGTGTGGGAGTCTTTCACCAGTCTCAGCCTCCAGGGAGGGATCCAGGCCTGTCCAAGTCCTGCAGCTGTGAGAGACTAAGGGGTTGTGAGAGGATGGGGGCGGGGGAGGTGTCACACTCATGTTTTAATCATTTATATAAAGGAATTGCTAAATTACAAAATTCAAGTATAATTGGCAAAAATGGGCTTGGGAACAAATAAAACACCCTTGATAGGATGTGACTCGTTCACTGGACAATGGCCTGCCCACAAGAAGGTGCCATCAGGGGGAAAAGAAAGACAACTAATTTGTTACATGGAGGTCAATGTGAGGCATTGTGAAGAAACAAGGGCTGCTATTTCCTGAGCATTTGCTGTGTAGAAGACTCTGTTTACCATAGTTAATCTTACTTCTCGCACAGATCTTAAGATGGGTGCTGGTCTCTGCAATTAACGAAAGTAGTATGGGGGAGGTCACTTGGCCATGGCCAGCCTCTGTCCCTGCCTTTCTGCTCTATTGGAAGCTCTGAGCACTTGGAGAAGAGGCTGGGAGCCCGCCTCCTGCCTCAGGCTATGGGTTTTCCCTGACCTCTGCCTGTGCTGACTTGCTTCATGTTGTACATGGCTAACTCCTAAACCATGCCACACACACCACCCCCACTCCCCCACCCCCCATTCAGGTTATGCTTGGCAATTTGCAGGAGGCTGAGCCGCTTCTTTCTAGGAATAGTTTATGTGGCACAGAGGCCTGTGGTCCCTTGAGGCTGTCATCCACACCCCTCGTTAGCAGCCTCGGGCTATTACACAGCCCTCTAAATGCCCTCCAAGCCTGAATCACCTCAGTGGCGTCTTGTATTTACATCTCCCCAAGGCCCCTGGCATCTGCTCACTCTCTCATCATGTATCCTCCATCCTGACATCCTGTTGGCTGGGAGGAACCAGGATTATCGTTATCCCATTAGGGAGGAAACTGAGGCACAGGGAAGCTGACACTAGTCAGCCAGCAGGGCACATCCCAGTGGGATGGCTCTGATGGGACCTGTCCAGCATAGCATATTCTAAATCTTTGCTTTCCACCCCACATTCTACAGTGCACTGTGCTGTGAGTGTGACAAGGAGATTCTCACAGGACTTCTGCAGGCCTGTGATGTATAAGCAGACACCACCATGCAGCATTTAATGGCCTTATTGGTCCCTGGATCCCTTCCTTTATAGTGCCTAAGGATCCTGCACAGCCCCTGGGAATCACAACTTAGAGAATGAGAGCCCTGCATCCCTGCCTCACTTAACAGACATCTGGTTGTGAAGCATTAGCCTTTTGAGAACAGGAGCCAGAATTTATTGTTCTTTATGCCTGCCCTTTCTCTGTTCATACAGTGATTAGACTTCCTTTTGGTGACAGGCATCCACCCCTACATCAGTCTATTAACCACTTGCCTCTGCGTCAACCCTCCTGAAGCAACAGTTTCAGGTGGTACCCCAAGCAGAATTGGGCATGCAAGAAGGCTCCTTCCTGAGCCTTCAAGTTAAACTGTAGCTGAGTTCTGTCCTCCCTGGGGGCTCAGAAAGGAAGAGAGAGATAGAGCTTCAGGATTCTTTCACCCCCTCACTGGTTGACCTCACACCAGCTATGTCTGAGAGAGAGAGGCACTAGACCTCATGTTAATGAGACCTGTTCTGAGGAGCCCATATACTATCTGTATCTCAAGAGTGGTTACACTACCATGCTGTGGCTGGTCAGCAGTATGTGTACACATGTACACACCAATTTCAGCAAATCCAGCTACAACTAATACAAGGAGTCAAAGCTTTGCTTGAAATTGGTCTCTGTCCTTTAGCTGCTGTTTTATTTTGCTAAGGAACTCTGTTTGAAGATAATTCAGTCCTTCTGAGCTTTTCTTAGGCATCCTTGGCCTCCTCTAGAGAATGCACAGGAAGCCATCTCTTGAACCAGTGAGTCAAGAAGCAGCTGCTGCTTGGAGAGAGCTGAGCTGGCAGCAGCAGCCTTTCCATGAGTGTTACCTCCCAACCTCTCCCTGGCCTGTGTCTAGAGACTGACTGGGCCATTCCCTCTGGGTCTAGACCAAAAAGACATCTTTTGTTCACTTCTCTGCCACCCAACAGGCTCTGAAAACTTTCTCGAGAGTCACCCAAGAAGGGAGACAGGCAATGCAGAGCGCCCAGCAGCTGTTTCCTCCCAGGAAGCCCTCTGAGCTGCTGTACTGGGAAACTGTGCTCAGCCAAGGCCTCCTTCAGGCCTTGTCCAAACAAAATGATCCTCCGCTCTACCCTTGCCCTCCCCAGCTGGTCTGTTCTTGACACATGCTACCCAGGGCAGAGAGCCTCTGACCTGCCTACTTGAACCCTGTTCTCATTCCCAACCCCAACCTTTGATCTCTGCCATTCCCACCAGGATCCTGCCGCTTCATGCAAGGGCCATCTTTCTTCTCCCTATTTTTTTTTTTTTTTTTTTTTTTTTTTTTTTTAGGGTTTCCCTGTAGCCCCAGCTGGCCTGGAATTCCCTGTGTAGACCAGGCTGGCCTTAAACTCCTAGAGATCTACCTGTCTCTGCCTCCTTAGTGCTGAGATTAAAGGCGTGTGCCACAAAAAAATCTGCATAACATATTTTTGGTGTACATTTATTTGTCTCTTTATTTTAATTTTTGTTGTTCGACAGTTTGACATTTATGCAGTGAATTTTAGTCATTTTCACTCTCCTCAACCTTCCCATTCACTGTGTAGACCAGGCTGGCCTGAAACTCACAAAGATTTGCCTGCCTCTGCCTCCCAAGTACTGGGATTAAAGGCGTGCGCTACCACACCTGGCCTTCTCCCTCTTCTTAGAAAGTCTTCCCAGCCTGCTCTGGCCACAGCTTTCTCCAGCCCTCAGTGACTACTTCTCAGATTTGGTCATTACCAGATTTTCTCTGGCCAACTGGACTGTGGTGCCTGTGGAGATCTGAGGCAGTGGCTCCCTTATCTCTAATGCTTTCTCTGTTTAGCATCCCATGACTGTCAGTGGAAGTCAGTACATGCAGTATCCCCTTCTGTTTGTGAAGTACTTCCCATGTATTGTTTTATTTGGTCCTTAAAATGATCCCTGTGAGGTTGGGGGTGTTGAGGGGAGTAAGATTGATCCCTGCTTTACAAACGGGGAGACTAAGAGGTAGAGGGGTAGAGTGGCCTGAGGCTAACGGCTGAGGAACTGCAGTACAAGGAGTAGGAGCCAGCCCTGTTCACAGCCTCTTCAAATCCTGGAGGTAAGGATCTAGTATGAAGAGGCTAGGGGGCCTCTAGGTCCTCTGCTTTCCATGGCTGGCCTATCTCTCACCTGACCCGGCATGCCTGAAGGATGAATGTGTAGATAACCATTAGCACAAGGGCTAGCTCCTACCCGAAGCTAGAGAAGGAACCTCCATGCATGGGAAGGTGAACACCCCCTACAGAGCCAGCCACACCTGGGCTAAGTACTGTGTATCCTCATACTAGCTATGGAGCTCAAGGCAGGGACCTTTACCTCTCTTTAGCATGATTTTCACCTCTGTAAAACAGGGTTCCTATCTGCTCAGACAGTGTCTTGAGAGCATCAAACAAGCAAAGAAACACAAAAGTGCCTGATCTAATTACTATTTGTCACAGCACTGAGTGGGCTGATGAGTAGAGTGGGTTGATTGAGGCTTGTGCTATCCAACTGGTCTCTGAGATCTCATTTTTCTACTGGGAACTCACAACACAAGCTCCCCCAGGCCAAGAACAGAGGTGGGCAATGACCTCTCTGTTCTGCCGTTCCATGCCTGAGCATGCTTCTCTGTGCCCTACACTACTGCAGCCTTCAGTCCCACCAGCCAGTGAACAATCAGGGGTCTAAGTCTTGGCCCAGACTTGGTGATCCTTGGCTGAGTCCATAGCAGTTCTTGCTGAGCTCTGTCTATAACCCAGGTAACTGACAGAGAGACACCAAGGCAGGCCAACAACATAACACACAACTCAGAATCCCATGTTTCCTCTTTCCCTGTGTGAAGTGGGTTTATCTTGGTGCTAGGTCTCCTAGCTCAGACATCCTAGTTGTGACTCGGACACTGATCCAGTCAGTGGGCCACCCAGCCTCCTGGGCTGCAGCTTCTTGTCTGCAAAGTGGACACACATACATCCCTCCCTGGAGAGGTGATTTAAGAGAGATAAGATAATTATTCTAAGATGCTCCGTGAAGATCAGGAGTCTATACAAGACAGCAGTAGGCAGTTACTTCTAAAGGGGTGGGAAGGAAAGTCCCCTGAAGACAACAGCAGATTTGAAATGGAGTCATCACCAAGGGACTGGCTCTACCTTGGCTATTTGGAGATGGATGGCAAGAACACCCTGTCCTTGGGCTTCTCCTCAGTGCTGGTTGGATGGTACAGTGAGTAAGGTCTTGGCTTAAGGAAAACAGGCTCTTGTAGCTGTTTAGCACCCATGTAGGGAATGGAATTGCTTTGGGTTCTTGCTCCTTTTGCAGTAATAGTTATGCTCGGGATTGTACCCTTTGGTTCTCTAGAGTTGAAGAGGACCTGGACCAGATTCTGAACCTGGGGGTTGAGCCCAAACCCAAGCCTCAGCCTAAGCCCAAGCCCCCACTAGCAGCTAAACCAGCATTGCCCAAGAAACCAGCTATGCCTACCTCCATGGACCCATCAGAAACCAGGGATGGACTACAGAAGCAGCAACAGATCCAAGCCATGGACGAGATGGATATCTTACAGTACATACGGGACCATGACACACCTGCCCAGGCCTTCCCCAGCCTCTTCTGATCCCCACTCCTACCCCATGCAGGGCCTGGGGCTGCACACCCTCCTTTTATGAGGACTGTATGTGAGTGAGCGAGTGGGCTCTGCCTTTAGGTCCAAGAGCTCCAGTGGAGGTGGAAGCCTGGACCCCAGCATCATTTCCTTTTCTCTTGGGCTATGGGATTGATATAGAATCCCTGTTGAATAGAGTGGAAGGTACCATAGGAATCGAAGCCCACATTGTCCCAACCCAGCTGGCTATGGAGAGGAAAGTAAGTGTGGGTATGCCTTGCTCAGCAGGAATCCAGCTTCAAGGATAGAATGAGATTTGAAGGGACCCAGGACAATATCCAATGGGAGAGGGACACCTCCTGCCTACTTGTGCCACTGACTCTGCCAGCTCAACACAGGAAAGAAGACCTAACTCACCTGAGCCTAGGCTGGGCTGAAGGGTGCCTATGCCAGGCCACTCTGGAGTCTGCTTGACATGGCTGCTGAGGCCCCAGGGGAGCTCTCAGCAGAAGAGCCCCTGTCCAGACTGCCCTAACACAAACCCCTTCTGAGCCTCCTCTGCTTTCCAGTGCTAAATAGAAAAGTCAGGCCCAATCTTGCCCATCTAGGGCACAGAGGTCTGCCTGGCCCTGAGTCCTTCTATTTCTTTTCCAGGAAGGGCCTGGCCAGCACGTGGCCCTCTTCTGCAGCCCTCCACAAAGTGGGTCATAGCATCTCCCAGAGCTTGGCTGATGGGGTTTGAGGCGCTGAGCCTTCTGCTCCAAGCCTTGCTTGTCCTCAGGGTCTGAACTTGCTCATTAGCCTCTCTTCAGTGGAACAACCAGCCCAGGGAGAAGGAATCATGTACCAGTGCTGTGTGTGACTCAGTCAGCAGGTCCATGCCTCGAACTTCTCCCAGAGTGGATGCTGTTTAATGGAGCAAAGAATATTCAGTGGTCCTTCTTAAACATATTCTTCATGTTCATAGCTAATTTTTTTTATGAAACACAATAGTTTTTAACAAAATGTAACCGCTTTGTTCCTTAACTCGGTTCTGCATGACAGAGGCATGGGAAGGGTCCAGGCAAGTCCAAGAGCCACTGTCAGGAGACCCAAGTGGCACAGTCCAGTCTATTGCTCTTGGTGTCTGAGGTCCCCAGCTCCTACCTTGCATATGATCTCTAGGACTAGGCTAGGAACACCAGGTCTGACCTGGCATCTTACTACATCCCTTGTCAACTGTCTAGTCCTGTGCTTTCCTCCTGTCCAGACTGAATGAATGGACATAGATGGTGCTGGGCAGAGGCCCAAAGTCCTGTGCCTTGCCAGGTTGGAGAGTCTCCTCCTCAGACCCTAAAACTGGCTTTAGATAGTTTCTGCCCAGGCTCTACTTCCCTTCACCAACAGGCCTTCACACCCTCCACCCTTTGGTGTCCAGTACCTACCCCAGTGCTATGTCCTCCCCACTCACCCTCCCTCACTGACTGCAAAATGTATAAGTAGGCGGAGAGAGGCAACATGGCCTAGTCTTCCTCTGCAGAGCCACCCAGCTCTGTCCCCAGGCTTTTGTGGACCCTTCCTATTCCCTATCCATTCCTCTGTGCCTTGGCTACCAGCTCTCTACCTCTCCTCCACACACCCCACACACACCCTGCACCTGCTTTGGGTCATAGTTGACATAGGAACAGAGAGTATGGCAGGCAGGATGACCATGGACCAGTTCCCTGTCTGGGGTCCCTAACAGAAGCTGGCCTGCCACTCTCTAGTGTAGGTTTGTCCACTGGTGGAGGTTTGTCTGCTGTGGGACTAGCCTCCTCCATAGCAGGGAGATAGCGGGACATCCTGGCACAGGTTTTTGCTCCTCAGATACCAGGTTCCAATTGTGACTTGTTTTCACTACAGGTCTGTGACCTACTGTCCCTCAGTTATGCAGTAAAGTCTGTGTGATTCTGTCAGCATTTTAGTGTTGTTCTTTTCCATGCCTGGGCTGGGGGTGGGGGGGTATTGGTGCATGTTTGTGTATGTTTGTATGTGTATGTGTGGCGGGGCGGGGGGAGTATCCTTTGTAACCAGGAAAGATATACCAGGTCCACTGCAACTCTGCCATAGCCTTCTTAGCTGGGGTCAGGAGAAGGAAAGGATTCTAGTCTTCCATTGTGAAAATACTGAGACAGGGGTCCCAGAGGTCCACACCCAATGGGACTGTCAGGCCATTAACCATTCAGCCAAGCCCTGTGTGGAAGGGGGACCCCTTCTTCCAGAAACCCACTTTGGGGACCACTGGGCTGGGATTGTTGTGATCTTGGCAGCCCTGCCTGGTGTCAGTACACAGGCCTGGCCTTGCACTCCAGCTAGAATTCAGACCCTGAGGTGCTGCTATTGCAGGTTCTGCAGCTCTACAGACTGTTGTTCTCTACAGACAGGTTCTCAGGGAGTCTCAGAGGCTTGTGCAGGAAGTTTGAACCACAACATCACAACATACTCTCTTCCACCACTGGGGTTTGGATCCTTAGCCAGGATTGAATTATAGTCTTGGTTCCTAAGGATGAACCATTGGACTGTTCTGGGAACTGCTCAAGAACCTGCATCTGAGCTTGCTCAATAGAAGAGAAGTTGAAGGTTGGACTTGGACGGCAGTGTGTTTGTTTTGAAAGCTGCTGCAAGCCCGTTGAACAGGATGTGCTATGTCGGTTGCTCCCTTCCTCCCAGCATTGTTCCACTTAGGACATCGTGTACTTGGAACAGTTCTTTAAAGTCCCAGTTCTAGGCCTAATCCTGGCCAGAGTGGCATCCTGGGCTCTGCTGGAGAGTAGCCCCCTGCCCCCCATGTTGATACAGTGTGCTTCTCCTCATCTCTGTGTGCTCAGAGAACTGCCCTGAGGCTCAAACACTCACACCGAATGCTGACCACAGCAAAGCCTTTGTGCCAGCAGTCACCTGGGCATTATGTCCACAAACAGCCTGGATTTAACTCCCAGTGCTAGGCTGATATGGAAGGTCAACCTCATTTTTCTAGCTCAGTCACTGCCCAGCCAAACACATCTGAGAAAGGGCCACAAAGCTACTAATGTGTCCTCTGACTCAGTAGCAAGCACTTCGAAATGCAGCTGTGTCTCCATGTAGGCTGATGGCTTCCCGCAGCAAGCATAGTACTGAGTGGCCAAGCATTCATCCAGCCTTGCATGGCCCCACTCACTACAGACTGATTGTTCCAGCCTTCCTTCACATCTTATCCTAAGGAGTTTTTGTTGTTGTTTCACAGTTAATGCTATTTATTGTATGGGGTTTTTTTTTTGTTGTTGTTGTTGTTCAAGAATTTCATACATACATATAATGTGTTTTGATCAAATCTATCCTCAATTCACTCCCCTCCAATTTCTTTCCTATCCCCTGCACCACCAATTTCTTTCCTACCCCCTCCACTACTTTTCCCTCCTAAGTTCATGTGCTTTTTCTCACTGAGTCCATTTAGTGGATAGCCTATATGTGCATGAGTGTGGGACCATCTGCTGGAGCATGGGCAGCCTATCAGGACCAACATCCCTGCAGAAAACTGACTCTCCCTCCCCTAGAACCCATCAATAACTAATAGCTCCTCAAGTGGCACTTCTTATACTCCTTCCCCGTCCATACTGAAATTTTGGCTGGTTTGATCCTGTTCATGCAGTCCCAGCCACTGTAAGTTCATGTTGCACTCTAAGGACTTTCAATGGGAGAAAGATGGCCAGGGGCTGCCAAAGGAGCAGCAGTTCTCATGTGGCCCACCATGATGATGCAACAGTCAGGCCGGGGCCAAGGAAGTTTCTGAGTGCCAGTCCACCCAGGCTGTGGAATGCCCCTTACTCCATAGTGCTTGGCTCACGTGACCAAAAGGAGATTCCTGAAGGAGCTTCAGAGGCTGATCATAGCGGAACCCCTGCCCAGTATTAACCAGAAATGGTGGTGGCCAGGTGGGTGGTCAGATGCCTATGGATTCAGCTCAGTCAAGCCTGAATCTGAGCACTGACATTGACTGTGTGCTGGGCATTGTGTAGTGAGTGAAGTGATGTGCATGCATCTGTCCCTGCCCTGCCTGCTAACCCCTGGCTCTTGTTTCCATGACTCTGGCCACTAGTCTCAGGTCTTACTCTGGATAAAACCACAGCCTCTAGCATGGAGATTATGAGCTCCTCAGTAAGCAGGTTGCCCTCTATTGGTAACTTTCAGAGGCCTGGTGTGCCTCTGCCAACTCAGCAAATAGCACAGTCTCAGATCACTTTTTTGGTAAAGCAGAGTTAACTAGCTTCCTATAGCCAAGTTGACCAGCCGTGTCTACTTTCCCATCTCTAAACAGTGTCCTGTGGGCACTTACTATGTACAGATCAAACACAGGGAATCAGGTGGACTAGGAGCTCAGAACAGAAGCAGGTGAGTCCTGGTCAGGCAGTGCAACATCATGCTGGTGGCAGCAGATCTGGGAAGGTGAACACAAGCCATCAGGAAAAAGACAAGGGCACAAAGCCTAGTGCGAACAGAGGAGACAGAGCCAGGTGTGTAGCAGCTGTAGCTCTGGGGCTCAGGACATGAGAGAAAAGGCCTGTGCAGACAGTGAACATTCCTGTGAACCTACAGTTTGTTGTGTGCAACCGGAAACTGCCTTTTGGTCCCTACATTTGTGTTTAAGAGCTTCCCTAACAAAGTGGCACTAAACAATGGAAGTCTTTTCCTTCACAGTTCTGGAAGTCAGATGTGTAAAGCCTGAGTGTTTGTGGTCTCCAAGGATGATCCTTTGCCTCTTTCTGCTTCTGGGGACTGCTGGGCAACCCTGGACATTCTTTGGCTTGCAGCTACATCACTCCAATCTGCCTCAAGCTTCATGTGACACACACCCTGTATGTCTTCACACAGTGGACTCTTCACATCCTATGTGTGTCCTAGTTTCCCTTCTATTAGATCTCTAGTCATGTACCTAATCTAATATATAATATACTTCACTCTATCTTATCACACCTGTAGCCTCTTTTTCCAAAAAGCCTATCTTCACAGCTTCTTGGTGGACATGAAATTCGAGGGGACCCTCTTCAACCTATTACATACACCTGCCCTGAGCATTTGGCGTTCACAAGTAGCCCCAGGCAGACAGCATCCTCCCTGCCTGTCCTATAAAGCTGGGGCCTTTGTGCCAGGCTTTGTGCCACTGGGCCCCTAGTTTGACTTTTATCCCTTGGGGCTCCTGCCCTACTCGAGCTTCTGTGACTCTCAGGGCTATAGGGACAGCAGCGTGCCCTCTTTCCTTCCTTGTAGCTTAGGGAAGGCCTCTGATGGGGCTTCTCCTGACATCTGGAGTTTTGACCCAGATGTGTAGCTCTGCATGGCCTGATGGCCTTCCCAGGCAGCTGGCTCCTGGGCTTTCCTCCCACCATCTCCCCATCATCTCCCTTCTCAGCCTCTGAGGAAGTCAGAAAAGGCTGCCAGAGCATGAGGTCTGTGAGGTTCGTGAGTGACTCTTGGCCCCAGCCAACCCTACGGTCCACCCCCCTCGTACCCTCCCTAGTTTCCTGCCTCTAGGTTCTTGGCATCTCCCAGTGTACTTCTCTTTGCCTTATTGATTTAATGGCCACTCTACTGACTTCCTCTGACAAGTGCTGTAGGTCCCAGAGGACAATATTTTTAGATTAGAAAGTAAGAACAGATTTCTTGTCCACCTGTTTCCCAAGCATCCAAAGCTGCAGAGAGGCTAAGCCCCCAGCCAAAATGGCCCCACTTCCCTCCCCAGGCTGGTGCTAGGACTCTAGGGAATATCTCTCTGGTTGTGTAGATGGCCCTGGGATTTGACCCCAGACCCTATGGATGGTGAAATCCTTGAGTACAGGACTGGAAAGCACTATAGTACCTTGGAAAGAAGTTTTGCAGTTTCTTTTTGGGCTTAAATTTACCAAGATCCCAGAAATTCCACTCATAGACAGATGCCCCAAAAGAAACGGAAACAAATATATGTCCATATAAGGTTCATAGACAATGTTCATAGCATCTTATCTATCATGGCTGAAAAGTGGAAATGACAGAAAAGCCAATACATTAGCTGGCAAATAGATAAACAAAATGTGATATATTCTTACCATGGAATATTATTTGGCCTTAAAAAGGAGAGCTGACACTACTACAGTGCTGATTCTCCTCCAATACATCTATGCTTGAAAGACCATGTATGAGACATGATTCTGTAGAATTTCTAGGACAAATCTCTAGGAACAGATGTAGATTAGTGGATACCTCAGGCTCAGGGGTCAGAACCAACAGTGACTACAAACTGACAGGACAGCTTCTTGGGGAGATGGAAATACCCTAAAACTGAATTTGTTGTGATGGTTACACAGTTCTGTAAATTTGCTAAAATCATTTAATTGTATTCTTTTTTTTTTTTTTTTTTTTTTTTTTTTTTTTTGTCTTTTTGAGAGAGGGTCTCCCTGTAGCCCCAGCTGGCCTGGATTCACTATGGAGACCAGGCTGGCCTCGAACTCACAGAGATCCACCTGCCTCTGTCTCCTTAGTGCTGGGATTAAAGGCGTGCACCACCATGCCCAGCTTTAATTGTATTCTTAAATGGGTGGATTTTGTGGTATTATACCTAAACAAAACAGATAGAAACGTTTTTTAAAAAATATATTTTTATTTATCTGTATGTATGTCTATGTGAGTGGATGCAGTAGAGGCCAAAAGAAGGTGTGGGTATCATGAGCTACCTGGTGTGGGTGCTGGGAACTAAACCCACATCCTCTGCAAGAGCAGTATATGCTTTTAACCACTAAGCCACCTCTCCAACCTCAGGCAGAAAATCATAATGACCAGAAAAAGAAAACAAACTCAGGGAAATGGGACAGGGACGGAAAGTGTGGGCCACTCCTGACTCTCTGGCCCCTTTAACCTGTCAGTGCCTCAATGTCCTTGCCTGTAATGTGAGGATTGTGATTGTACTACC